TTTGAGATCGGGACACGAAGACCAGCAGAAAAGTGCTAATGGCACATGACTCTTCCATGGTCTTTTGCTGCCCAAACCCTGCTGTTGTCCTGGAGGTGCTGGAAAATGAAATCATTAGCTGACAATGACTGCTGCTGGCTGGCACGTGTTTTTTTTCTAATTTCCTAACTCTCTGGGAGGTTAAACACTGGAATAAATTGCCTAGGGAGGTTGTGGAATCTCCATCACTGGAGATATTTAATAGCAGGTTGGACAGACATCTATCAGGGATGATGTAGATGGTGCTTGGTCCTGCCGTGAGGGCAGGGGACTGGACTTGATGACCTCTCAGGGTCCCTTCCAGATCTAGTGTTCTGGCATTCCTTGTACATGAGAATAAAAGTGAATAGGACACACAGAAGTCCACCAATGCTATCCTGGCTGCAGAGATCGGATGAAATAATTATTGAGATGACTATTTTCCTCAAAGGAGCCAAAGTCAGTGGATTCCCTTCCAGTTTATACCTCAGAGAAGAATTTGACCCTTGGGTTTCTTTCTTTTGAAATGAGCTACCAGCAAAAGTGTTCTGAATTTAACACACTTTGTTTCTCTCTCTAGTGGTGTCCTCTTGTCAGCTCATAGGACCAGACAGGCAATTGAATAGTGGTGTAATATGTCGGCGCAGCATAGAGAAGTGATGAGTACATGAGGGATTTGAATGTATTTGCTGTGTGCAGAACAGTAGGTACTGGCCTCAGATTTTGCTTAACCCCAAAAAACTCATCCTTGTTGCATGATCCGATTTCTTCTATACAAAATGTTCCATAGTGCTGTTTAACTATGAAAGAAGAGCGTTTTCATACTGTTCTTACAGTGGTTAGACTTACACCCCGGGGTGGAGAAACTACTGCGAGGAAAGGTAAAAACCATAGATATGTGCCTGATTTCTGACCTTACCTGGTTCCCATACTGAGAAAAGCAGGAGAAAAATACTGGGTGTTTGCACTGAAAAAAAGGGTTCTGTCAAACAAACATTTTGGAAAGAAAATCATTGCTTTTTTCCTATTTTTTAATGGATAATTTTAAAATGAGTCCTGAAAACGTTGATTTGGATTCACGTTGAATGTAAATTCTCATTTTAGTTTTTACACCCTGCCCCCAGATTTTAACTTTGAAATTCTGAAATTTCCAGTTCTCTTTTCCCCTTTCTTCCTTTTGAGTGCAATAGATCAGAACAAATGATGTCTTGTACGTTTCCTCACCCTTACCCTCACTTTTTAGGTTATTTTCCTTTTGCAACACTTCAATTTTTCAAAGTTTCTCCAATTGTAGAAAAATTAGAGAACGACCGAGAGAAAAGTGAAATTAACTCTGCCACTTGGTAAGGTTCTCAGACTCAGGGTATGTCTACACTACCCCGCTAGTTCGAACTAGCGGGGTAGTGTAGACATACCCTGAGTCTGAGAACCTTACCAAGTGGCAGAGTTAATTTCACTTTTCTCTCGGTCGTTCTCTAATTTTTCTACAATTGGAGAAACTTTGAAAAATTGAAGTGTTGCAAAAGGAAAATAACCTAAAAAGTGAGGGTAAGGGTGAGGAAACGTACAAGACATCATTTGTTCTGATCTATTGCACTCAAAAGGAAGAAAGGGGAAAAGAGAACTGGAAATTTCAGAATTTCAAAGTTAAAATCTGGGGGCAGGGTGTAAAAACTAAAATGAGAATTTACATTCAACGTGAATCCAAATCAACGTTTTCAGGACTCATTTTAAAATTATCCATTAAAAAATAGGAAAAAAGCAATGATTTTCTTTCCAAAATGTTTGTTTCAAAAGCTGTTTATTGATCATATCACATTGGTATAATGTCAGGAGGTTGTGTGCATGTGTGTGGGGAGTTCGGGGCTGGGAGAGTAGCCACAGCACTGCCCTGTCACTGCCCTGTCACTGGATTCCCAAGGCGGTAGGGACTGCACTGCCTGGCCACCCGAGCATTGGGATTGAAGTCTGGGTGTGCTGCAGCCACAAAGCCCAAGGTTGTTTCCAGCAGCATCCAGAGCTCTACCCACAGAGGGCTGGTCTCTTATGTGTGTGCTGCACCAGAGTACACAGGCTTACTTTCACCTTTGCCCACATGCCCTGTAGGGGGCAGCAGTTTCACAGGGCTGGTCTACACTGAAAAGTTACCTCAGCATAGTCCTTCAGGGATGTGAAAAATCCACACCCCTAGAGAAGTTGATGGAACCCCCAGGATCAACCGCATTAGGTCCGTAGATAGTGTGACTGGGCAGGATGCAGCTGGATCACCAGAGGAACAGAAACTTAGGCTACATCTTCAGTAGAAATGCTGCAGCGCTTCAGTGTTAATATTCACTACAGTGACTGTAAGTGCCTGATCAGGCAGGTTTTTGTGCTGGTCTGTATCACTGTGTGAGAGGGGTGCTGTCATGCTGCTGACAGTAATAATCTCCAGCGTCATCTGCTTCAACCCTGCTGATTTTAAAAGTGAAGTCGGTGCCAGAGCCGCTGCCACTGAACCGGTCTGGGATGCCAGAGGGACGAGTGTTAGTGCTGTAGATAAGAAGTTTAGGCGCTTGTCCTGGTTTCTGCTGGTGCAAAGCCATGTAGCTTCTAGCACTGGAACTGGTTTTGCAGTTGATAGTGACCGTGTCTCCTGGTGACACCGACAGGAATTCGGGAGTCTGAGTCACAAGGATGTCCCCTCTAGATCCTGCACAGAGAACAACATTAAAATAAAGTTTCATAGAGTCACTGTAAATCAAATCCAGTATAACAAAGAAATAGGCAGTATTAGCATCTCACTCTAGATTTAAAAGGGTAGTTACAATCACACCTGCTGACAGTTCTTATAATTAAGAGCTATTATAGTCTCAAGAAACAAACCCACTCATCTATCTAATGAGACTGAGAATATGTCTGGCAGTCAGGGATTTCAGGGCCACAGTTGTTATTGACATCTTGGTAACAAATTATTTTATGGTGACCTGTCCCCTGCTGCTTTCCTTACCCCGAATCCAGAGGACAGTGAGGCAGAGAAGTTGAATTTGTGAAATCATCTTGCTGCTTCCAGACTGAAAGGTAGCAAACTGCGGAACATAAAGCATTAACCTGTAACATTTATATCTGCTCCATGGAGCAGGGAAATGTCACATGGGTGGAAATATGCAAAAGATCTCTATGTAAATGTGCATTTCCTGTGGCCCAGTGTGGAGACTGTAGGGAGGAGTAAAAACCATTGAACTGCAATGAGAGTTGCAAACCTGCATCAGGACAGCACATGGCTCTTCCATTCCGTGTCCCTGAGTCTTCTCTCTGGTTACGTCTACACTGCCCATGTATTTCAGAGTAATCTATTCCGGAATAGTTATTCTGAAATAGCTTATTTCGAAATAGCATGTCTACACTGGAGCGAAGCCTCAAAATTAGTCCGAGGCACGTTTCCGTAATGTAGACATTCTATCTCGATTTAGAGCCCCAGGAGGCACTAAGGAGGAATAAGTTAGGATTTCCCTTGTTAGGGGCTGTTTTGAAATAGCAGAAGTGGAGCGTCTACACAGCCCCTATTTCGAAATAACTATTTCAGAATAGGCATTATTCTTCATAGAATGAGGTTTACAGAAGTCGGAATAAGCCTTCTGTTATTTTGAAATTATTTCAAAATAATGTTATTGCTGTGCAGGCACTCGCATTGTTATTTCGGAATAACGGCCTTTATTCTGAAATAACTTCGCTGTGTAGACACACCCTCTGTAAGCACTAGTTTGAAACAGTGTGACATGATTGCTGTCAATGGAGTTCTGATCTGTACTGGTATCCATCAAAGATGGCATTAGTTTGCCCCTGTGCTGAATGTTCTAAGCCTGGTTGCTTGTAACCATCTTGATTTGTATGCAATGTGTGTATTCTCCAGTGGCAAGATTCTTTATGGCTAGAATTTCCTTGTCCTTACAGCAATAAAAATTGGAGTTAACTAATATCAGCTATCACGTTTTAGCTGGCATCAGTCTCATGGAGACAGGAAACACAGGGACCAGCTAGTCTGTGTATTTACGGTATGTAGTTGTTACGGCACAGTCAGGGTTCCCCCGATGCTGCTCCCCCGTGGCAGCAAGAACAGACTCCCGCCAGCCAGCAGAGTAGAGGGGGTTTATTGCTTCTCCAGGACACAGCACAGCATAGACATGATGTGGTTACAGGAATCAGGGCCAGAATGCCTCAGACCCCTTGGGTTAGGGGTCCATCACGGCTAACCCCTCAGCTTAGGCTGTTCCCTTTAAGTTTCGCAGACAGCAACTGCCCCTTCCCCCAACATTCACTTCTTTTGTTCCATCCCTTCCCTTAACTGGTAGAACCAGTTCGGTCACTATCATGGGGGCCCTCAAGACGCCTTCCACTGGGCAATGCTTACAGACAGAGGCCAGTAGGCGTCATCCACAGCCCGCAGAGCAACCAGCCAGGCACTGACACTATATCACAGTGGTGTATTGACAATTTTGAATTCCTAGGTGGCTATAGATTTCCCCCCATCTATGGCATGTTCTGCAGATGTCTCTTAGGCCATTTTCCTATTAGTCAATAGAATTCCTGTTGTGAATAACACCTGGTTTTGCTGTGGGTTAGGAACATGATGAGCTTTTATTGATAAGTAGCATGACATAATATATTCTACGTGTAAACTTATTTGTACATGTAGACTTATCCAAAAGGCCCCAAGATTGTATCAGCATGTCAGTTGGAGACTGCACGTACCTACTGAGAACAAGGAGAAGTGAACAGTAGAAGGGAAATGGCTGAATGTGATGGAGTGAATCACCAGGTATCTCAGTGTCAGAGCTCTGTGGCTAAGTGGGGGAACTGGCCTGCTGGATGAAGTGTCAGAGACAGAGGGTTACTCTGTGTGACAGCAACAGTTTCGCTGGTTCCGGGAGTGATTAGGAAGCAGCTGCTGCACTGAGCAATAGAATCTCCAGAGAGCAGGGAGGTTTTTGTGCTGCTCTGTATCACTGTGTGAGAGGGGTACCGTAGAAATGCTGACAGTAATAATCTCCAGCATCATCAGTTTCAACTCTGCTGATGGTGAATGTGAAGTCGGTGCCAGACCCACTGCCACTGAACCGGTCTGGGATCCCAGAGGGACGGGTGGAGGCACTGTGGATAAGGAGCTTAGGAGCTTGTCCTGATTTCTGTTGGTACCAGGCCATATAGCTGTAAACACTGGAACTGGCTTTGCAGCGGATAGTGACTGTGTCTCCAGGAGACACTGCTAGGGATTCTGGAGTCTGAGTCAGCACAGTCTCCCCCTTGGCATCTGGCAGAGAGGAATAAACATTATATGACAAACAAGGAAAATTAAATGAAATATTATTAAAAAAGGAAAGTTGTAAATAATGCCTAGCTTTCCATTGGACCATTGACCCACTTAGTTACATTAAAGTCTATGTCCACTGGAATTGTCCCTGGTGATCTCATGGGATGAAAGATTAATATTGATTTGATGAGGAGATCGATGATAATTAAAACGTATTGTTCTTACCCTGAATCCACAGCGCTAGGAACCAGATCAGATGAGTCTGTGAAATCATCCTTGTTCCTCTAGCCTGACAGTCACTGAGACACTAAGGCAGCAAGTTGAAGAAATGAAACTTTTATATCTGTCAGAGATTGGAAGGCAAGGGCACTCAGGTGGAAATATGCAAAGCAGTTTCTCTGTTTAAATGGGCATTCTCTGTGGCTTGGTGAAGAGAGAAAGCCGTGTACAGCCTCTGGTCTGAGGTTGCAGCTTCAGTAGATGAAACTGAGTATTATTGTTTGTCAACTGGGGTTTTTATAATCATTATAAGGTTTAGATCAACATGCAGAGTTTGTGCCTAAATCACTGCTACAATATGGCCAGTTTCAGCTGTGTTACTGATTTCAGTGACTCTGCTGGTATTGTAAGGTGCTATTCAGCTCCGACGTTACTGCATTTAGATTAAAGTTAGGTGTGAACCAAAATCCCGGGTGCAGGATAAATAGGAGTTTGGCTGCACATTTGAATGCGACTGTCACGACTGACCCCTCTCTCTTTAAAGGGCTGAACTGCAATTCCGAATCCTACCTCCTTGAAATGTTGTTAAACGCGGATCTCCATCTGCCTCCAGTATGTGCAACTCTGTTCTGTCTGTAGCTTGGATCCAGCAGCACATTCATGGACAGCCCCTAAGGGTGATAGCTGGTTCACACCTAGAATCACCTGCAAGAGCCATGAGCACTGCATGAGATATTATCAATTAAAGATCTTCCTGAAAAATGCCATCATCCGTATCAGCAACCGGATCCAATAAAGAAGTTTGCATAAAGTTTGTGCTGGTGATAGGTGATGGATTGACAGCTCCCAAATTCTCTTCTTCCATGAGGAGCAAAAGTAAACTGTATAGGGACCCTCTCCCAGGGCTTTCTCCCACCTGTTCTTTTGTTGGGTCCCTTGTGCTTCTGTCCTCAATCACCGCACAGCCTAGAGAAGGCACAGGTGTGTCAGGGTCATTGGTGTGGTGAGGACCATGCATCTGTCCTGACTCTAGGGCTGTCTCCTTTTTCTCCATGGCTCAGAGACAGCAGGACTGTGCCAACAAAGTTTCCCTGGGCTAGCCTCCTGTTGTGATCTCGTCTCTCCAGGGTACACATGAGTATCTGTGAAAGAGTTAGTTCTCACTTAGGCTACATTAGATCTCTGAAGGCTTTGGGGGAGCTTGGTTAAGTTATTTCTCCTCTACCTCAATTTCTCCATCTGGATCTATCATGCCCCTCCACATAGAACACTTTTTAGACCAGTACACGAAGACCAGCAGAAAAGTGCTAATGGCATATGACTCTTCCATGGTCTTTTGCTGCCCAGACCCTGCTGTTGTCCTGGAGGTGCTGGAAAATGAACTCATTAGCTGACACTGGCTGCTGGCTGGCATGCATCTTTTTTCTAACTTCCTAACTGTCAGGGTGGTTAAATGCTGGAATAAGTTGCCTAGGGTGGTTGTGGAATGTTCATCAATGGAGACATTTGGATAGAGCAGGTTAGACTATGAGGGATGATGTAGATGGTGCTTGGTCCTGCTGTGAGGGTATGGGACTGGACTTGATGACTTCTCAAGGTCCCTTTCAGTTCTATTGTTCTGTGATTCCCTGTACATGAGTATAAAAGTGAACAGGATGCACAGAAGCTCACCAACAGGATCCTGGCTGCAAAGATTGGATGAAATAATTATTGAGTTGAATATTTTCCTTGAAGGAGCCAAAGTCAGTGGATTCCCTTCCAGTTTATACCTCAGAGAAGAATTTGACCCTCGGGTTTGTTTTTTGTTTAAATTAGCTAACAGCAAAAATGTTCTGAATTTAACACACGCTGTGTCTCTCTCTAGTGGTGGCTCTCAGTCTTGGGCTACGTCTAGATTGCAGACTTCTTTCAGAAGAAGCATTTTTCAGAAGAGAGCTTCCGAAAATTTTCTTCCGAAAGAGAGCGTCCACACAGCAACGGTGCATCAAAAAAGCAATCTGCTTTTCTGAAAGAGAGCATCAAGACCGAATGGATGCTCTCTCGCATGTAAGCTATAATTGCTATGGACGGAAAGGCCACCAGGGCACTTGTACTTTTTCCTCTTTCCTTTTCTTCTGAAAAAATTCCCTCTTCTCTGTCCACACATGCCTTTTTGCGAAAGAGCTCTAACGGAAAAAGGCTTTTTCCTCATAGAATGACGATTACCATCGCCAGAAAATCCCCTCTGTTCATTCAATTTTCTTGCACAAGAACACAGTTTTACTGTGTACATGTTCCTCCAGTTTTGTTAGAAAAATGGCCTTTTTTGGGACAAAACTGTGTAATGTAGAGAAACCCTTAGTTTCCGATTAAATTCTTAAGGGAGATTGGCTCTGTAGGATATGGTGTTGGTGAGGCAATGAGATTCCTGAATCAGAAGTTTTCTTGCATTCTCTGTTTGTTCACCTCTGTTGCAGGAAGAGTCTGTATGTTTAAATAAAACAAGTTATGCTTAGTGCATTTACTGAGGAACATAAAGCATTAACCTGTAACATTTATATAATCTGGGTGTGCAATATGCGAATGGCGTTCAGAGATGAAAATTCACACCTGGTCCATTAACAGGCATGAAAAGGGAAGTGTAAGGGCGATGGATGACATAGGCAAGGTCAACCAGTCACTCCTGTGTACAAGTGTCTCTGTGTTAAAGTGACATTTGTGCTGTGGTCCTGGAGGTGCTGGGAAATGAACTCATTAGCTAACACTGACTGCTGGCTGGAACATGTGGGGTTTATTTCTAACTTGCTAAATGTTAAGATGGTTAAACACTGGAATAAATTGCCTAGGGAGATTGTGTAACTTCATCACCGGAGACATTTAAGAGCAGGTTGGATAGACATCTATCATGGCCGTTGTAGATGGTGCTTGGTCCTGCCATGAGGGCAGGACTGGACTTGAACTCTCAAGGTCCCTCTAGCTCTTGTATTCTGTGATTCTCTGTACATGAGAATAAAAGTTAATAGGCACACAGAAGCTAAACAATGGCTTCCTAGCAGGGGAGATTTGGATGAAATAATCGTTGAATTAGTTATTTTCCTTAAAGGAGCCAAAGTCAGTGGATTTTCTTTCAATTTATATCTTAGGCTGTGTCTAGACTACATGCCTCTGTCGGCAGAGGCATGTAGATGAGGGTTGTAGGCAAAGGGAAAGGAAGCCGCGATTTAAATGATCGCGGCTTCATTTACATTTACATGGCTGCCGCGCTGAGCCGACAAACAGCTGATCAGCGGTTTGTCGGCTCGCCGCTAGTCTGGACGTTCCCCCTGTCGACATCAAAGCCCTTTGTCGGCAGCCCCGGTAAACCTCATCCCACGAGGAATAACGGGGCTGCCGACAAAGGGCTTTGATGTCGACAGGGGGAACGTCCAGACTAGCGGCGAGCCGACAAACCGCTGATCAGCTGTTTGTCGGCTCGCCGCTAGTCTGGACGTTCCCCCTGTCGACATCAAAGCCCTTTGTCGGCAGCCCCGGTAAACCTCATCCCACGAGGAATAACGGGGCTGCCGACAAAGGGCTTTGATGTCGACAGGGGGAACGTCCAGACTAGCGGCGAGCCGACAAACCGCTGATCAGCTGTTTGTCGGCTCAGCGCGGCAGCCATGTAAATGTAAATGAAGCCGCGATCATTTAAATCGCGGCTTCATTTACCTTTGCTGAATAAACAAATCTACATGCCTCTGCCGACAGAATTTGATCATCTGATCTCTTAGTTTGGAAATTAGCTAACAGCAGAAATGTTCTGAATTTAACATACTCTGTCTCTTTCTCTAGTGTTGTCCTCTTGTCGGCTGATCAGAGCAGGCAGGCAACTGAATAGTGGTGTAATATGATGGAGCATCATAGAGTAGTGATGGGATATGATTGTATTTGCTGTGTGTGGCGCAGTAGGGACTGGCCTCTGATTTTGCTTAACCCTAAGAAACTCACCCTTGTTGTGTGTTTTGACTTCTATGCCAAAAAGTTCCGTAGTGCTGTTTAAGTATGAAAGAGGAGGGTTTTCATCCTGTGCTAGCAGTGGTTAGACTTACACCTCTGGGTGGAGAAGTTACTGTGAAGAAAAGTCAAGAGGAACAGACAGGTGCCTGAAGCCTGACCCTTGCACGGTTCCCATACTGAGAGATGCAGGAGCAAAACACTGGGCATTTGTACAAGAAGCAGGTACCGTATATTCCGGCGTACAAGACGACCTCTGATGTTAAAAAACATCCCCCCAAAATCGGGGGTCGTCTTGTACGCCGGATGCCCCGCCGCCGGAGCCCCTCCGCGGCTTTGAAAGCCTCGGGGGAAGCCGGCAGGGGGG